TATGCTTTACCGGCCTTGCGACCATCGAGCGTGGTAATAGTGTTGTCACCACTGTTGAGTATTATAGAAGAGTAGGTGTTATACCTCAAAGTTCATGATGTCACTGCAAGATATATCGGCAGAAATGAAGCCGAAGACATCAGAAATGCAAAGCTCCGGCCGTTTCTGGCAGTCATTGTAACAAAGCTTTCTATTGGTCGGTAAACTTTCTATCGCGCAACCACGTGACATACACGGTTATGAATAGAATTACCGCACGGTGTTGTAGAGGGAGGAATATCCGAACAAAACAACACCGTGCAGGCGGACGATGGAAGCTCTTCGACCTATACAACTCGGGATGATAAATCATCGGCATCATTTTTTTAATGATCGGTTCAACCCGTAGCTGCGCACTATTGTCTAATAACACAGGCTACACGTACTAATAGAATAAGTTAACTACATTTGGCTAATACACTTGGAACAAAACAGTATATATGCCATCATTAACTTGAAGAATACAAAATTAATTAACCAAGATGAAAGTACAGTGTGGTGTTGCCGTCTCAATCCCGTTCGCACCCCACACTTTACTAACTGAGCGAACACTAGCACAAGACAAACCACATCCTTCAGAGAGTGACTACCATTACATTATTGTTTCAATGTTGTTTTAATATTTAGCATCAGCTGTTTGAACGCGATCTTCATTACACCATCGCGGAATCACCGAATAAAAGCTTGCCCATTTATAACATTTTTTTTGATTGGCTGAGACGGCGTAACTTCACGATTGACATTTAAAGCTCGTTGCCACCAAAATGCTCATTATATGCAATTTGGGCTGAGTCTGATAGATACCTCACTGAGTCAATTGATTTAAACGATGATAATTATTTTAATTAATACTGTTTGTTTTATTATGTTTTAATCTACGATCATAAATCTATTCACTTCCAAAATTTAGGGGGTTACCGACACATCACTACCATAAACAAGTATCGGTCGTATTAATTTGTCTAAAAGCGCTAGTGACAAGGCGATGAACAAATTGTGTATTGCGCCTAATTTAGTTTTGAGTGAAAACAGTGCCCTTTTAGCCTTTTTCTTAAGGTGCTTTAGAGCTTTTTTAAATTTTCCATTTGCACTGATTATTAAGCCCAGATAATTAATTTTTTTGACTGTCACAATTTAACTAACCCCAGAAAGAATGTGTCACTGTTCAGACCTGTGTTTTATTTGTTAAAAAATAATACTTATATTTTTTTATTATCTAGTGGTAATCGAAGCCCTGGCGTTTGTATTAGGCGGTTTTTCATTTCCCATGTTTACCACGCAGTAATATGCGATTTTGTGAGTGTCTAATGATGTCTTCCTCGCGTGTCACGCCATGACCTAGCTTCAACCACGCAGCCATGTTGCAACGAAGTGCGTGACTCCAATGACTCTATGATCGTTCTGTTCAACTGTTAAGCTAGGATTTACTAGTATTACCGTTATTATCATTATATTGTCACGTGATTTGTTTTTACCTTATTGGTAATGTCTTAAGTATCTTTATTGTAATTTGTATATACCAATTCGTATATACAGAACAAACAACCTCGATTGAAGGGCATGTATTATGTGACGTCACCAATTTGTATGTACGTACGGCTCCTAGAATTGTGCCGAACTTTCACTGACGGCAAGTGATAGTCCGACTGGCGGCTGTATTGTCTAGCGGTACGCCACTGGCTGCAAGCTTCAGCTCGGTTGCTGTAACCGACCCATATTTCCAACATGGCCACCTATGAACGTGTTCCGACGGACTTCTTTCAACAGTGTCGCAATTACTATTTTCCAAATCGTATTTACGATTTCAAGAAGCTGGAGAATGACTTATTGAATACCATAGAGTATCGGAAAGACGATGTTATCGTGGTTGCATATCCCAAGTCAGGTATTAATTGGATGTTGGTGTCACTTCGTGAGCTTTACAAAAATACATGGGGTGTTTGTAGATCTGGCGACAGGGTCATGGCACCCCTGCTCGACTGGTTAGTGTTTAAAGATGGCCGTGTTATCGAAGGTATCATTGATGATTGCAAAACACAATTTCTCCACAGTAACTCGGCTCTTCCTTCACCGAGACTGTTCTGCACTCACTTACCTTACGAGTTTTTGCCAATGAAAAAGCTGACAGAGAAAGGAGCTAAAATAATATGTGTTGCTCGGAATCCAAAGGATGTCTGCACATCTTATCATTATTTTATGAAGAGTTGGCTGGGCGGTGAGTGGTCGGTGCCATGGCAACAGCTTGTGGAGAGCGACTTCATCGATGGACGAACAGAGTACGGCCCGTATACTCGGTACATATTGTCGTGGTACAGTCATGGACGAGACGAAAACATATTTCATGTCACTTACGAAGAAATGAAGCACAAGTACAAACCTACTATGAAGAAAATATCAGAATTTCTGGAGAAGCCAGTCACTGATGCCGATCTAGAACGCATCGAGAAGAGTTGCTCCTTCCAGAACATGGATCCTAAAAGTCTGCCCTTTGATGACAAGTCATTCAAGATGGGTCAATTTTGTCGTAAAGGTATTGTTGGAGATTGGAAAAATCACTTCACTGTGGCCCAGAGCGAACAATTCGATAAATGTATTGTATCTGAATTGACTAGTAACAACATAAACTTTACTTATGAGTAGAATTATTATACAATATTATACATAGGTTTCAAATATTCATATTGATTAAGTGAACAATAATTAAATTTTGACTACCCGAAGACTAAGGTGCACTTTTTAAGTCGAAAAAACGTACAACTAAAACCTGATGCAATCCCATGTTCAAAGCACTGTAAGCTTAAAGCTGATGTTTTCTCCGATTTTTTATCTTTATTAATGAATTTCATTAGTGCATTATTAAAGGGGAACCGCTCAATCCCATACATTGCACCAAAGAATCATGGGACACTATTGTTTATGTTGTTTACAAAGTTACTAGTAATCTATTTTTTGTTAACCATTGTAATTTTAATCCAGAAAGTAAATTTGTTGTGAGATTAGGCTTAACTGGAAGTGCCCCTTCAACAAATATAATTTGTGTGCATTAGGTATTGGATATGCAGTAATGGGCATAATACTGCCTCGTGGTCATTGTAAACGTTTTATAAATATGCATTTTTATAAATCTAACTAGTAGCTTGGCGATAAGCGGCTTTGGCGGTGAGTGGCTTTCATATGAAGTATCTTTCGCAGTGAGTAGGGCTTTATCATAGTAATTAGTTCATTCGTCGGAGTTTAGAAGTTTTGTTTTGTGTGTCATAAACAACTCATGCTAACCTGAAAATACCATCTCCAGGAGTTGCTAATTTGTCTTTATGATGTGTACATGTGCACACATAATTTGCAGGAGTTCCTAAATAAGACCCATGCTCTGATATTGCCCCCTAGTTTCTTACTTTGACCAAAGAACATTTGATCATTAATATAGAATGGGCTTTGCACCATGCATTCTTATTAAACTACTTAGTGATATACATACTTTGCAGAAGGAGTGTTGACTATTGTTTATTAGAATTAATAATCCCCAATATAATTTTTCAATATAGATAAGAAAAACAGATAAGAAATCTTAGCATGAAAAAATGTATAACTCATTCCCAGCAATGAAATAACGATATGTATAATGTATTGTAATACAACAAATTAAACAATATCATATCCAGGCCTTTTGTGTACTGTTCTGTGTGTTCTCCAGCATAAATGTCGGTCTACCTGTGATTCTGAGTATAACCTTGGTATATCTTGGTTTATCTATTGTATTGTATTGTATTGTATTGTATTGTATTGTATTGTATTGTATTCTATTCTATTCTATTCTATTCTATTCTATTCTCCTCGAGCTCTATACGTCAATACCATTACTTTCATTTATTAATGATATTGTAAATAATCAAAATATCAGTAGTAGATGCAATAATACGACAGTGCAATATAACGTGTTTTTTTTATCACTCTACTTCTGGTATGATATAACTTTCATATGATTTTATCTAGCAAACTATGTGAAATACAAATCCATTCGTAATTTGTAGATCAATAATCCATATATACAAAACTTCAATATAGCGATGGTATTTGCCATATAATTAACTAATATATTTGCGATTTTTTTTCATTGTAAGTTTATTAATTTTAACAAATAAACGCCGAACAAATAAACGGAATAATTCGTACCATTAACCTGAACCAGATTATCTGAAAAAATCACTTCGCCTTTGATAACCTCTGTCTGTACACTTGTGAATAAATGTTGATAACTTATTCAATTTCAACAAATGGGTACACAATGATAATTAGTGTTTTCAAACACTTATAAATACAAATCTCCCATAATGTTCAAATAATACAAATAATATGACTTTACTGACATAGTACATGCGCCACACCCAATTCGTGTGCCGTAATCGACACCCATCAATTAACATATGATATACGCATAAATGGTTTAAGCCTTCAGAGTTTTCAAACATATGGTAACCCATGGAAATCCCAATTAATAATTAGTGTTAGGCATACTAATTTTGAGAACACCCATTGTATTGAATATATCCAACAACAACTATTACATTCATTACTTTGTTTGATACTTTTTTTAGAATATTTTTTTCAAATACTGGACGGGCCAGCTGACTACAGTAACGCTACGACTGATGTAACAAACTACATCATTAATTTATAGAAAGCT